GTGTGTTGTTGTATGTTGTATGTGATTTCACATCAATAGCACTAATCTAGATGGTCATGCAAAGTTGTAACTTTGCTTTTATTTGTAGTGTCCCCGAGTATCCCTGGTCACATGAGGATGAATGGAGCTGTGGAGGGCCAGCCAATGGTTAAAAAGCGCAGAGGAAGAAGGAAAAATGTGGAGGGAATGGACCTGCTTTTCATGAACAGAAACAGAGTAACTCCAGTTCTTGATCAGGTATTCTTTTCAGATCAAATCTCACTTTCATATGTTGAAGGGTATTAGCATTTAATTATTAAATCTTAAATATGATTTTTACTTTCATATAAATACCTTTATTATATTGTATTGCATTACATTGGGACGACGTAAGCTTTTTTTGTACATTCACTGTAGCATGTGAAGGTTAGCTGTTTGACTTCTGCTACCAGCAGAAGCTTACTGCATGTATCTCTTATTATTTTATTATTTATTTCAGGTGGCCCCCGGATGGGGAGGAATAGGCCAGGTGGGTCTACCAGCTGCACCTTTGCCTAGCTACAGCCAAAGCTCTGCTGACTCTGAGAGCAGAGTTCCAGTCATTAACCTCAAAGATGGCACCAGGCTTGCAGGTGATGATGCTCCCAAGAGAAGGGACTTGGAGCAGTGGCTGAAAGAACACCCGGGATTTGTGGCTGATACTGGAGCCTTTATCCCGGTAAGTTTTTGATAAGTACATTTAAAAAGATAACAACATTGTCTAAAATTGTCCTGTCTTTAGGCGGTTAACAAAATGCAGATGCAGTTCCATTTCCAGGATGGGCGTCCCAAACAAAAGCGACATCGCTGTCGAAACCCTAACAAGATCGATGTAAATAGTTTGACTGGAGAAGAACGTGTCCAGATAATTAACCGAAGAAATGCACGAAAGGTTGTTAATTTTTGTTAAATTTTGCAAAGCTCTGGGTTTTAATAAATATACTGTATATTATTAGCTTTGGTAACTTTTTTCTGGTTCTGCAGATTGGTGGAGCATTTGCTCCTCCTCTTAAGGATTTGTGTCGGTTCCTACAGGAGAACCCTGAGTATGGGGTCCCACCAGAATGGGCAGATGTTGTCAAACAGTCGGTGGGTGGATTCAAATGATTTATTTTGATTGCATGGATGAGTATCCTAGTTAATTGTCAATTTGTTATGATGTCAACTCCAGGGTTATCTTCCTGAGAGCATGTTTGACAGGATCCTTACTGGGCCCATTGTTCCCGAAGAAGTAAGTCGTCGAGGGAGGCGACCCAAAAATCCTCTGGCGAGAGCAGCAGCAGCAGCCCCAAAACCAACAGCTTCCTCCCTGGGGCTAAGCCCTTTGTTAACTAATGGCCTGCTGCCGGGGGTGGACCTGAGCAGCCTTCAGGCCTTTCAGCAGAACCTGCAGAGCCTGCAGTCTCTGCAGCTCACTGCAGGCCTAATGGGGCTTCCATCTGACGCTAGCAACATGGCAGCCAACAACTTAGCAGCCATGTTTCCCATGATGCTCTCTGGCGTGTCGGGCTTACCTAATCTACTGAGTGTTGGTGGACTGCTGGGTAAGGAGGGAGCTGTAGGTGCTGAGGGGCAAGGAAAGGGAAATGTGGGCTCTGGGCTGGATCAGCCAGGCTCTAAAGTGGACAATAAAGCAGAAAGGACAGAGGCCTCCAACACATCACCTTCCAACTCCAACACGACATCCCCGGGCTCACCCAACTCACTGTCCCTTAACCCTTTGTTACTGTCCAGTATGATTTATCCAGGGATGATTCTTACTCCAGGCCTTAACCTTCCTGTGTCTGCCACGCAGCCACAGAACGCTAACAATGAGCCTGTACCCACAGCGGCCTCAGCAGCACCACAGGACCCCAAACAGCCAGCAGCCTTCAAAGACACAGTGGAAGGAGAAGACAGTAGAGTAAGTGAGGAGACACAGGAAGATGATGAGGAGTCGGTAGAACAAAAAGACAACAGTGGTCCGGAAGGTTCCGACAAAGCTTCATCATCGTCATCAGCATCCGGGAGCTCTTCCTCATCAGATGACTCTGACTCCAGTGATGAAGACTGAACTATGAATACAATTTGACTTTTATTTATGTATTGCCTAAATGTATCATATATTCACTGAAATTGATTTTCTAGCACTTATGTTTCGATTTCTCTACATGTAAATATACACTAACTAAAAGTTGTATGAAAATAAAAAGGTTAAAAACAACACTGAAATTAGATTTCAGTGTTAAAGGTACAGTTCTGTCATGAGACATGCATGTCACACTTCAGAAGATTTTGAACTCTGAATGTGGATTACAGTTATGTACAAAGGCAACAAATAGGCATTAATGTAATTATGTGAGATTTAATTGTATTAAAAAGTCAGACTTCATAAACATGCTCATTGAGCTGAGCTGTACTCTTAATATATTTTGATTGTTGGGACTGGGCAGTTGTCACTCAGTTGTCATGTAAATATCCAGGACTTTTTTGACAGTTTGCTTTGCAGATCATATGTTGGATATGCCAGCAATAACTTGGGCAGCTAATGAATGTCACTGAAGCTGTAGATTTTCTGTCTGCCATTTTCCATCATAGTGCACAACTAACAGCCCAACTTCGTTCATAAAAAGATCAGATCACATCCACTCTGTTGATTCAAATTAAATAAATATAATTTTATCTCTAAAGGACATAAGCTAAAATGTTTCTCATGTCTTATGTTGTAATGCATTTTCTGATAAGATGCATTTGCATTTGACAAACATGTCAGTCCAAGACGCACTTTAGCTTCCCACAGTACACTTGCACCTCATCTGACTCTGGCATTGCCTGAGTATAATAATCCTCTGGAGTCTTTGGGGACAAAACTCAACCTTAATACTGTGCCAAACTGCCCTGGGATGCTGTGAAATCCCTATTGGGTATTATGGTCTCTGTCATCAGAAACTGTTTCAGGACAACACAGATAATATTACAACCCTGGTGTATTTGACTGCATCTTACCTCAACTACTAAACAGATTGGCTTCACTGTGCAAAATGTGCATGTGTGTGGTATTTATAGTATGTACATAGTTCTTTTTCCTGCTGGAATATGTGTTTGTGTTTAAGACTGAGAGCTTCCACAGTGTAGTACTGTGTGGCTGGCCTGTGCCTCTCTTCTGGTTTCTACTGCTTCCATACTTTCCAGTTCGAATGTTGTTAAAATACTCCTGTTAAAAAGGAGGGGGCCTTGAAAACTTTTTTTTTGGTTTTTTTTTTGTTTTTTTTTTTGTTTTGTTTTTTAATAAGATTCAACACAGATTAAAAAATCATTCAGATAAGATTTTAGGTCACTTGACCACCTGTTCAACAAGTCTTACAGACAATACATGGTACAAGCACATGTTACTTACATTCTGGCAGAGAATGTTGTTAACACACAAAATCTATGTGTACTGAAGTGAATACAGTGCCAGACCCACAAAACACTGAAATGGTTAGCAGCTGTGTGATGAGAACAAGTGTGTAGCTTGTCGTCTTTGACTTGCTTCTGCTGATGAATGAAGCTTGAGTTAGATGTAGAAGTGCCCTTATCCTGTACCTCACGCTGTAATTCAACAGATTATGTGTCCATACACATTTTTTACAATCACTGAACTGTACCCAGGAACTTTACACTGGAATTCACTGAGACCGGAAGTACCTTTTTGTAATGTTTCTTTCCACATTTGTGCTCTAGGACTGCTGTTAAACAGTAGACTGTTAGATAAGTACAATAGTGATCATTTCTAAAATCAAGCAGGTGGTCCCTTTGGTGTCAAAGCTGTATTCCTTAGGTATTGCTGTAGCATTATATCCAGTGTTTTGCAGTGCTTCACAAACCATGCACTCTTAGCACTGATCTGATCTCTAAAGTTGCTTATTTTATGCCTGTTCTATGGCCCTTGTGTTGGGTTTGTGTTTTTATATGACAAGCTTATTTTTCTATGTATGGGCCACAGTTGTCACATGATGTTGCATCTGCATCTCCACATTACTAAAACGTGTAGTGCCCTTATGCAAACAAGCCTAACCATGGCTAAAGGTATCACTCTCTTCTGTTTGGTGCCCTGAAATAACATGCTGAAATTCTGATTGTGCTGTGCCTCTGTAAGACTTCTAATTAGTGGAAGTTAAATTGGACGTTCACTTCCTCCTTAGCTTTTGTTTTCACCTGTTCTGCACTGCATAGGGATGTCCACAATGCATTGCTCACCTGACTAGAGGCAGTATTGAAGTTATACTCACAACTGAAGACCAATATGCAAGGACAGATTTTCAACACACTACTACTGCTGTACAGGGAAGTTTACTTGCAGTTATTGTTCATTCTTTCACTGACACGACTATCAGAACTGATGTTTTTTTTTTTTTTTTTTTCAAGCTTGTATTATTATATTATCACTGATATTCTCAGATTTTTCCTTGAACATTATACAGTTGTAATATTTGCAAGTTGTGGTCTGTGTAGTCTAATAATTCTCTATGTAGTTGCAGAAAAACATGTCTTAAAGTCATTTGTAATTTATTGGATTACTTTCTATGAAGTTCTATAGAGGAAATTGAGGTTTAATTATTTTTATTAAACATATTCTGACTATCCATAATGTGTTTGTATCTAGCTGTCATTTTATTCATACCTTTAACGTGTTGACTTAATACAAACATACTTCATACACGTTTACTGCGTCAGTGTTTATCACTCTGCCGCCTTCCTCGTGAAACAAAACACAACTCCAGATATGTTTTTGATGAGGAAACAAGATTATTACATTAACACTGACATTGTCACAATATAACTGTAACAGCTAAGAAAACAGTGTAATATGGGCCCTTTAGCCTACTATAACTAAAATAAAGCTACGTTATATAGGCCTAAGAGTCAAACCCCACACTATGAATATAACACAGGCAGGCTTGAGTAGATGGCCTCATGAGACACGCCCACATAAAAGAACTATTACGCAGTTACACGTGCTGATTACAGACTGTAAAAAAGAGCCCACATGCGAACTTCCTATTTGTGCTATGCTGCTGATACACTCGACGTGCTCTTGTAGAAAAAGTATAGCGGATGACAGAAGTGGAGCGGACCCAAGGACCTTTGACGACATCCTCAGATATTTCCTCAACATCAGGCGGTGAGTTTTAGTAGCCTGTCCTGTCGATTTCCGCGATCCACACTGGACTACACATCTGAGTTCCATTGCCATAGTAGTCTAGTGTTTTAATGTTTTTTTTTTTTACTTATTGTTGTCCAGGCTGTGTTTTCACATCAGCCTCTCTACAGAGATGAACAATGATCCTGAAAAACTCTTCTTTAATGCCCACCTCATGCATAAGTAGCGTGGTAAAAGTTAAGACATTTAAGTTTCTTTGTCACGTGACAGCTCTATGGCGGGAAATTCTGAATTCCGCCCACCTCCCCCCAGATGCAAGTCCCGCCCACAGAGAAGAGCTCGACCAATCCGGAGACAGGAAACGTATTTTCCTCGTCTTTTCCGTGGGTGTGATTGGTAGCTATAGCGGAGGAAACATGCAGCTGCGGTATGCATGTAGCACCAGACGTCCCTAAATACTTGGGACAGTCCCAGTTTTGAGCCCTGTGTCCCCTGTGCCAGCAGATTTAACCAAAACCAGTGAGTTGTCCCAGTTTTAAGAAATGTCCCAGGTATTCCTGTTTTTGACCAGTTTGATCTAAACTAGGACTAAACCAGGACTACATCAGGTCTAAACCAGGAATAAAACAGGACTATCCCAATTGTTGACTAATCTGATCCCCGCCAACCGTAAAGAGGAGCATAAATTGTCACTTGTTTAGCTTAAATACAGTAGGGTGACCATATTTCCGTTTGTGAACACCCGGACACCTTACCGGGGGTGGGGCCTCGACATTGGGCTACACTCACCTCGCAAACTGTGCACATGGCCTCCCACAGGTGTTCGGGTTCTTCGTGGGATCATGTCAAGTTGTGATTTGTTTACACTGGTGTTTACATATTTGCGCCACCCTCTGGCCACATCAGGCATATGCACGCCAAGATGTTTTATCAGTTGTATCTGACGTACCGTTTCATTTGCAGATTCGACAAGAACTATACTGACCCCAATCAAACTTGTCTAACATGACTGCGATGAATACATGGCTTCAGAATAAAGTACATGAATGGTTGCAATTGTGTATATGACTATAAGTTGTTTGGTGTCCTTTAATGACTATGATAGGCAGGCTATAAAAAATATGAGGAAGAGGGTGCGTAGGCCTCGAACTCACGTCACTAGTGAAGAAAGCTACAAGTTCTGTTTCTACACCTCTACGGTATACCCACATATCAAACTATTTCTTCAGCACTATATATGTCATGCGCGTTACGGTCACATTGAAGGCGTTAACTTGTGAAAGTTACGCTTAACATCGGACAAGTTAGCGCTGTTTTTAAAAGCGCAAGTCCGTCCTTTACCATGTGCGTCGTGCGCGCACTACAGCGCTGAACTTAAATCTGCAGAAGGTTGCATGATGATGTTTTAAAAGGCTACAACGAAAACTTTGCTTCCATGTCTTGATGTGACACCTGGCAGGGCGTATTATCTTGTGACACCCACTTTGGACAGTTTACCACTGTTATTTAAAGCCTGATTGTGCTTTGTCCTTTTGAGGGCCTCGCGTGCCTGGCAAAAAATGCTAATGCGATTAGAGCAGCTATAATGAACTGATATCATGCATAATAATGTTAAACGAACGCAAAGTCACAAAAGTGTTAAACAAAGCGACACGCCGTGGTCACTCAGTGCACTGCCACTTATGCTGACACATCATTGCTATGTTGTGACATTACAATATAGTCATCCGCTTATGTGCAATTATACGGCACTTTTTCGAGCGTCACAGGCAGCGTAATGTGCGCATGCATGACATTGTGGAAAGTCAACTATAAAGTGACAATAAGGTCATATGGCAAAGTGAACATAAAAGCACTCGGCTTCTGCCGCTGATGTGACTAATCACCCTGTGCAGCTATACTCCAAATTGTCCCAGACATGGCTCAAACTCCTATTGGGTCGGTGTCAACTACGGCTACTGTCAAAACCACGTTTAGGAAAACTATTATATAAGGATACAGCACAATCAAGCTTTAAATAACAGTGGTAAATTGTCCACTGGGCGTGTCACAAGATAACACGCCCTGCTAGGTGTCATATCAAGACATGGAGGCAAAGTTTGCGTTGTAGAATGCTAAAACACCATCGTACACTATTCTGCAGACTTTAGCTCAGTGCTGTAGCGTACACACGAGGCACATGGTAAAGGACGGCACTCGCGCTTTTAAAAACAGTGCTAACTTGTCCGATGTTAAGCGTGACTTTCACAAGTTAACATGCCTCCAATGTGACTGTAACGTACATGACAAATATAGGTGCTGAACTGATCGATATGTTAACGTACTTGTTATTTTCTTCAGGAGTGACGTGAGTTGGAGATCCACGCACCCTCTTACTTATATTTTTATAGCCTGTTTATCGTAGACATTAAAGGACACCAAATAACTTATAGTCATATACACAATTGCAAGCATTGATTTACTTTATTCTGGAGCCATGTATTAATCGCAGTCATGTTAGACAAGTTTGATTGGAGTCGGCATTGTTCTTGTCGAATCTGCAAATGAAACGGTACGTCAGATACAAATGCTAAAAGATTTTGACTTGTGCTTGTGCCTGATGTGACCTGAGGGCGGCGCAAATATGTACACACCATTGTAAACAAATCACAACTTGACATGATCCCACGAAGAACCGGAACACCAGGACGGAAAACGGGGAAATTTTTGAACAAGTCATCGTTAAATGCACATTTGCGCTTCGGCATGTTGCAGGCTGACCGACTGTTTGTGTCTGCTCGCTCCTTCTGAGTCCACAAAGAGCTACGAGAGCCGCTCAGATTAATGGCCCAATGAGAGATCATGAAAACATTTCCCTCACTTTATGAAAAAAAAAGGATACAGAATGTTACACGCTCTTTTCACAGTTTTATTTATATTAACCATCCCAATCCGGGTGTGTCCCAGTTTTGAATTTTGAATATCTAGTCACCCTAATGTAGCAGTTTCATGTTTATCTGTGCTTTTTTAAGGACTTTTGTACAGGATAGTTTTTGTTATGTACTATGCCAATGGTCTGAACTCATTTTCATACCCAATACAGTTAAGTGGTGCATGTCATTTTCAGGCACAGTTAAAGGGGTACTGTTTAACTTTTTCAGTGGAGGATCCACCATCTGCCTGTCTCCATGCAGATCCTGTTTTTTTTGTCTGGAATGTCCCGGTATGGCATTAAAAGTATCCATCTTGCATTTATTATTGGCTTAAAAACTTGCATTCTTACTGTGAGTGGGCTTTCCTCTCCACAGATTTGACATATAACCTGGCCAAATGGTGTTGACTGCTGTCTCTGTAGAGATAATTAAGTGTAATGCTGTGGACTATTCCAGGCAGCATTTCCATGAAGAGAAGCTGGTGACCAACCCTTCACCAAAAAGTTACACAGTGCACCTTTAAGCTTGTTTCAGTGGTTTTGGGAATTCAGGTGCACCCTTTACAAAGTGTTGCATGTATCAGTAAGCGAAGGAGGTCAGTAGGGATAAGCAATGGAAAAGTGAAGCTTGCCCCACAGTTTGTAGGAACCAGGGCATGTTCAAAGCTGACTGGTTAAAGTACTAAACTATTTCTGTAAATACTTTGTATTAATGGATCAACAAAGAAACAAGAAAAATCAAGTGCTTACTAAATGAATGTTATTGTTTCTTCCTTTTAGCCTTTCTGAACCCCTTATATGTGTTGTTGCATTCCTTTTAATGAGACACCAGCGGTGAACACGTTGTTGACTTGTGTGCAGGTGTCCCAATTGTTATTAGTATACATCAGTACTGGAGGCTACAGCATCACCATGAGCTGTTCTAAGGAGAAGTGGCAGACAGTGGGCCCTAGTGATGATCTGATCAGTATGTTCAGGTGAGTAACATTTCCTGTTTGCTCTCTGAATGACATTATGTCAAATACATACAATGAGTGATTTCTTTTTATAGGGCCTACCCCACAGATCCCACTGAGGAGGTTCAGTCCAACCTAAACCACCTGCTCAACAGATTCATGGAATCTTATAGAAGCACCACAAATGATGAGCAAAACTTTGGTACAGCTAAAATGAAAAAAATATATACATCATAATATGAATTCAGTGTCAACATTGATACTGATTAATTGACATTGTTGTTGACATTTGTGGTTGGCAGAAAAGTGTTGTTATGAATCCAAAGTGTGGTATTACAAGATCGTGGAGAGCCTTATGCAGGAGAAGGATCCAAAACCTAGGCTCAAGAAGTATCTCTCAGTAAGTATTCTTCAAATCTAAATCTATATTACAATATATAATTATTGCTGTATGATTTTCCATACAGACTTTCTTAGAAGACAGCCCATTTCAACGCAGTTTGGTGGTGTGCTGCTTGGAGATCACCTTATACACCAACAAATTAGCATCATTTCGACCCACGATTACTTCACCTTTTCGATTTGGCAGCATACAACCTTTTCGAGGTGTGTCTACATAGTATGATGCATTATATGGTGGCATGGTTTATTTAGTGTTTAATGCATTTCTGCAGGTTGTAGATCTGGTGTCACACATTCAAGTTGACTTGACACTTGATGTGACTGAACATCTTGTAAAAGTTGTAGAGATGATTGTTGAGAGGTTGGCTTGGACAAGAAACTCTCCTCTGTGGGAAGAAATCCGATCAAATGAGGGACAAGTACCCACCTGCCAGCAGGTCTGTCAGCCTATGTGAAGCCTGTCACTCAGATGTGTGAGCATGTGCTCATATTTCAAGTCTCTTTTAGGTTATGTACCCTAAAGAACGAGAAGATCCCATGATAATGGAACAGTTGGACCGGGATCCAATTCAAGGTAATTATAAACACTTTTAACCATAATAACCATAATGTGATTTGTGCATGTTTGACTAATCTGACCAATCTACCCCCATTTTTTCTGTTCACATGCCTACTCTCTTTACTCTCTAACTCAAATTTTATTTTCTTAATCAGTGTACTTTTTTGTTGTGTTGAAGATTACAGTGTCATGCCCTGCCTGCAAATCATTTCTGTTTGATGCACTGCCAGTGCTGTTTCTAAAATGTGGCAAAACTGGTAATAAGAAAAGTGTGGTACATTATCAATAATATGGCTTTTCCTTGATAGCTGAACAAACTTCTGACCAGCAGAACCTGACTTTAATGAGGCCACATAGAAACATCTGTCTTTATATGTTTGCACGTAAGGTCAGTCTTAATAACATCACACAACCAGTTCATTCATATGCATCCTATGTCATGGTGCAATGCATTTGTAGGTTTATTGGTTAATGCATAAGCGTCTGAGAACGCTGTGCTGCATTCTGCACCTACAAGATGAGCAGTGCAAAAAGATCTGGACTTGTTTTGAGTACTTCCTGGTTCACCACTTTGACATGCTCAGAGACTGTCATCTGGACTGGCTTCTGCTGTGTGCCATCCACGGCATATCCAAGGTGCAGTATTTGCACACTAATTCTAATATAAACATAATAATTCTGTATAAGCAACTACTAGACTAATGTTTGTTTTTCAATCTTTTAGGATACAAAAGATGAACTCCCTTTCAAGCTCTTAATTCACTACAAAAATACACATGTATGATCTTTTTTCCTATCTCTGACTTCCTTCTTGTTGTACTTAAAGCTGCAATGCTAATGTGTGATTTATTGAGGAAATTGTGTTATCCATAGCAAAGGCAAAAATGGTTCTGGAGAGTAAGCGGGTTCTGGTTTGGATACTGTGACTTACCAGTTTTTGAAAATGTTGGTGCGGGGCCCCTGGTGGGCTCTGGATATACTAAGCCCACAATGAATTACACTGAAGCAATTTTGTTATATGTTATGAGTTTTCAAAGACTTTGACTTAAAATTGCAATGCATTAAAGTTACTCTTGCAGGGTCAATATGGAATTGGCTTGCTAATTTTTTTTTTTTTTAAAGGTGTGTAAGACCATGCCAATGCTTAAAGGACACCCTGAACAATCCCAAGATAACAGTAAGTTTAAATACTGAAGTTACTGTCTGTTATAGTTACGTTTTGTACTATATATTGATTAATCCCACACAGTACCATGAAAGTATGATAGTAACTCATTAACTGTCCTTTTAGTCAACAAAACTGACCAAAGCAGGATTCCCACCCCAAACACCCCATCCATACTCCGTGATCAGGAATTTGACAGCATCACCTGCTTCTACAGCCAGGTCTATGCACCTGCCATGGGGCACATTGTTAAAAAGTTTGCATTAACTTCTGGGGTGAGATGCCTCATTTTTGGCATTTTGAAATGTTGCTAGTGTATTTTGAAATTATGTTTAAATAACTCCACTCATTGCAGGTTGAGCCTCCACGTCTGTCACCATACCCCCCACAGCCTTCACCATCCAGTCGCAAATACAGACTTCATAAGGATTTCAACATTTTTGTGTCCCAATTAAACAAACAAACCACACCACCACCACAACCTGCAGGAATGTGCTATGACTTCCAGTCCAGCCCATCGCAGGTCTGCCCTTCCCCTAGCAATGTGGTTTTAGCTCAAGTTAAGTAAGCACTTAATTCTACAATTCTGTCTCTTTTAGTGCCTTCGTGACATCAATGCCAAGGTCAGACTGCACGGGCCTCCTGTCAAGCGAGGAAGAAAATTACAGTGGGATAAAGATGACAGGGGCCCCTCGGCTAAGATGGCTCCCATGAGCGGTCTGCAAAGGAGAGTCCTGGACATAGAAAGTGATCGGATGCAGATAAAGGATGACAAGGTCAAGCCATCTTCAGATCACTAGAACAGCCTTTTAGATTTGACTTTTTTAAACCATAGCAAAGGAGAAATAAAATTTTCACAATTCTTCCAAGGTGCTTCTTCTGTTCTGAACAGAAGAAGCAGCTTGGATGAGCTGCAAAATGTATTTTGATTAAAAAAAAAACAAAAAAAACTTTTGTCCAGTTGACAAATTGAATTTCTCCTTTGCCATGGAATCTACCTGGATGGCTGAGGGATTTTATAAATGTCTTTTAAACCATAAAAAAAAAAAATGTTAAGATTTATATTTATTCCACTAATTTATTGGCAATAAAGATGTTTTCATTGAAATATTTTAATAATATTGTCACAACAATTTGCTATTTTTTTTAAAAAGCGCAAACTAAATTAACATATGGCATACAAAATCCTCTGTTAATTTAATTAATTTTAATGCAGTTATTGTTCTCTTCACTGTTATAATTTTTCTATGATATTAATATATAACAAAATTTATATCTATTATTGCTCTTATAATGGTTAATTTCTCACAGAAACTGACTAAACTAAATAACTTTACATTTTTTTGCTCTTAACATCATAACAGTTCCTATATTTGTTTCATTGCCTTTTACTCATGGCTCATTTATATTTCAGCTTTGCAATAAATTAATATTACATTGTATTTTTTCTGACCATTGATCTTTGAAATTATAATTTATATATCAAAACTGACCAAAGCGGGATTAAATTAGGCAGAACCAACCTCATATTTACAATTCTAGAGAGAAAAATGCAAAGTGAAGTGACTAACACATTAATTTCTCTTTGTTTATCAGTAACCATGTTGGAGTTAATTCTCTACTGTTGTTGCTCAGTGATTTTAAAGGAACTACACTGCCCCTAAACAAAGGGACTTAGCCCTCTCATAACCAGGCACAGGTTTGACGGGACCTCCCACTGTTACCTTAGAGACCCAAGCACCTGAGCTTACAACACCCACATACCTGTGCATATTTCTGATTAACTCCAGTGGAGGCATAGGAGCAGGCAGCATTGTGGATGGTTTATTTTGTTAGATTGTTTTGAACTATGGGGTGTAACACAAGCAGGGGCACTACAGTGGTCGACCCGTCGAACAAGCCAGAAGATCGACCCAAAACTGCAGCCTCGACTACAGAGACTCCACCTTGTCAAGAGCAGGGTAATGGGGCAGTGGAGAAGGTACAAGTGGAGGAAGTGGAGACTGTAAGCTGAGAACCGCTTCTGCTCAGAAAATTAAGTAAGTTAAGCTATGCTTTGGCCATATTTAATTCTGAAAAGGGAACACAGCGTAAATCAATAGTGTAGGAAAGCCTATTAAAACGATCTTATATTAAATCTCATGGTCAGCTAAAACAGCATTTTATTTAGCATTTTCCATAAAGGCTCACACCTCTCCACAGATCAGACCTGTAACTTGAAGGGGTTTGATTGTTTTGTCTCCATGGAGCAGTAAGTTTAAAGCCATACTGTGGATGATTCCAGGCAAAGCAAAAACATCTCCATGTAGACAAATCGTATGGTAAACTTTCCATCAAAAAGAATTTAATATGCTTATATTAACGCAAGATCTGAACTATATACCTAGTGCCTATACCTGTTATACTAAAAGATATTCAGAACATTTTAAGTTTTATTTATTTTTTTATTTTTTTGTGAGTAAGGCAAATTAAACAGCCATCTCGGCAGTGACATGTTTTGTTGCTACTATTTATTTCAATTCTAGATAGGGGTAGCACAAGCATGAACAAAGAGTTCATTTGTAATGATAAATTGTTTAAGAATAACTCAAGCATAGTAATTATTATTCCTAACCCTAAATTGTAACTAAGACTGAATCATTCTTAATAAACTATTTGTTCATGATAAGTAAAATCTTTGTCCATGCTTTACTATGGCTCATTAACACATGTAGTTATTATATTGGGACCACCAATGGCTGTAGAGTCATTTTTATTTTTTGTGTTTTGATTTTGTTTCGAAATTGTAATTGTTTGTTTTGCAATATAATAGCAACATTTGACATGAGTCTGTCACTGTGTCTGCAGATGGGCCTGTCCCCAATGAATGAGGGCCTGCCTGAAGGGACTGCGGTCTGCCAACAAAAACAAAACAACTGGCGCACAATTTGGATTCAACTACAACCATTGGAATAAACTAATTTTAATTCAGCTGTACCGTCTATTTTAATATCTATGTATAGTTCACATAGTCATCTGAGATGTTTTAGGCTTGTATAAACATCTTATATTTAAATATAATTTCATGTTTCTTCCTAATCTGAAATCATTCCTAGTACTAGGGGTTTCCCGTACCCCTGACTGGGAAACACAGTTTGCTCAGAGTAATAATATTCAAAAATAAATATAAATGTAATACTGACTAACATTTAAAGGTAATATATCCTTCTTTCCATTAAAGTCGGTTTACTTACTTGTTCACTTATTCAAACTTGTGCCATTATAGCCAACTATTTTACGACAGCAGGGGGCAGAAGTGAACAGTGCTTTGATTCACCCATTCACCAGCAGAGAGCACTGTTGATCTTTACAAGCCTCCCCGAACATCCAAACCAAGCCCCATTTGGTCCAGACATTTAATCTGAAATATAGGTTGTAAGTTTATTACCAGCGAGTGAAAGGAGCTGGAATGGAATAGCCATTTAACAAAGCCATATCAAAAAATACCCATCTCAGAGCCAGCGGGAAAATGCCATGAAAATATTACATTACACAAATGGAGAGAGTGATTGAATAATGTGCTGGGGAAGATAAATGAAAAGCACTTTGTTGGAAAACGTGGCTCTAAATACGTTTTTAATTTTAGCAGTGGGATGAAAGAAGCCAGTTTGAGCGTGTTTCACTGCTGCCAATTGATTCGAGGCTCCGCACGTGCGAATGGAGAGCGCGCGCATTCTCCTCTCGTTCTCTGTTCATTAATGCGCGCGCGCACGGGCACATTATATCAGGGTTTTAGCATTTAGCACAAAGAAGACAGTGATGTTTTAACCACCTAACAATCTTCTATTAAGACACAAGTCAATTCAGTGTAACAAGAAACATTTGCCTAGTATCCATGATGCCATGGACTGATGCCATGCGATTAACAATTTAAAACAAAATATTATATCCTTTGAATGGGAAAAGTGTTGCGTAACAAGAAACTGAAACCCACTACAATTCTGAATGTAAGCTTATGCAGGGATTGCAGAAGCAAGGATTTAATAACTGGATTAAAGGTACACTACAGAACTTTTCTGGTGGAGGTTCTACCACCTGCCTGTGTCAAGGATATGTTATTGTTTTGCTTGCCATGTTCCACAATATGGCATTAACCCTTCAATGTTGCATTTATTCAATTTTAAGTATTTTATTCAAACACAAAGAAAAAAATGCACTACTCTGTACTCGCCCCTCCACAGATCTGCCTGAGGGCTTTGACAAGGAGGTTGTGGCCAAACCTCCTTGTCAAAGCCTGATCTCATCAGGTCTCAGATGCTAAGCAGGGCTGGGCTGGGTTAGTTGGGTGGTTGGATGGGAGACCGCTGTTGCCACAGTGAATGTGGTGTGTTCAGGAGTGTTGGTGGTGGTCAGAGGGGCAGATTGGCAGCCTTGTTTCTATCAGTCTGCCCCTGAGCAGCTTACCACCTCCAGGTATGGAATGAATGAATAATGCATGAAACTGTAAAGCAACTTTTAGTGTCTGTAGCGCTATATGAGATTAATACATTTTTTATATTTTAGACTTCATTCAATTGTCTATATGGAACTTTAAAGCCATACTGTGAAACACCTGGTCAAAACAAAAACATCTACATGAAGACCCCTCCACCAGAACAGTTACACAATGCGCCTTAATTATTATTATTATTTTTTTTAACTGTGCAAATAAATAAATGAATAAATAAATGTTATCATTAAATATTTTTTCCACATAATAAAAAAAATAATGAAATGACTGAGAAATACCTACACATGATCCAAAATCTAGGTATATTAACCAATAAAATCTGACAAAATTGTTCAAATCAACAATAATATTTGAAATTCATACATTTCCTTTTGGCTGTTCCCTCCATCATTTGTGTGTACATTAGAAGTAGCCTAAACATGGCAGTGTAGCATTGGCACAGACAGCTACAAAACTGTACAAATAGAGGAAAAACAAAAAAACAACTCCAAAAAAGTGTCTCTGGTGTAATGTCCTCACAGTAATGGTGCGTTTATATGATGTTTATAATGATGTGCACAATATGGCCTCTCAGTCTGATCCCAGCACACTTTATAGTCCTGTTCTCCACTCTCTCCTTTTGTGAATATATGATCAGAGGCGCGACAGCCCAGTCTTTAATCTTACACTGGCCTTGAAGAATGTCACTGACTCCAGCAGCCTGCCTCTCCCCTCTGCCCCACCACCACTGCAGCCACATACTGCTACTCTGCTGCATATGCTTTATGAGCTTGAAAGAAAACATGAAATATGACACAAGCTGATATTGTTTAAGATGATATAAATTCACTCAGAAAGTAACCAACCATTGAAATAGGTACAGGAATTATTCACGGCCGTGCTCCTTGGTGCTTTGTAAAATGTCAAAACAATGAAAAGTACACCGCGCTATAGCTAGATTGTAAATGAGTGGAAGTCTATGAGATTTAGCAGCTGATAAAGGTCAGGAGGCTGGTGGTGAAATAAACAGGCATTTTGACTAAGATGACTTGATTCTCACGGAAGGGTTAAAAAAACAATACATCAAATGGTAATATATGGTGTAGTGAGTTATTTTTGTACATGCCTGGTACAAAGCAGATACTTGCCCACTAACTATAGCAGTTAAGATAATAATTATGATGAGGCTCTGTGGTGCATGTACTAATGGTGGTACGCAAGCTCCTTCATGTGATGTGCAGGTTTCTATAGATTTTTTTTCCCCCTAAATTTAGACCCCTGAATTTTGTCCTCCTTTAAATTGCTCCTTTTCAGTAGTGTAGTCCAATTTTAGACTATATTCCCATTTTACACTTGGTTAGGCCAAACATTTTTTTTCAAGTGTGAAAAGTTCCTTCCTAATCGACTTGTTTCATTCACACGTTTGGATACCATAACAGGATTATTAATCTGTCTACATCTCCAAAACTCAGAATGTTCTGTTCCACTTTGAAGGAGTAGTTTTTGAGTTAACAGCTACCTTTTACCTTTAGTTCAGTAGAGATCGGCAAATCCATGTCTGAAATCATCCAAATTGTGGCCATACCAGCTTGTCAAAGCCTGATCCTGTCAGATCTCAGAAGCTAAGCAAGGCTGGGCCTGGTTACTACTTGGATGGGAGACCGCTGAGAAAGTCAGGTGCCACAGTGGGGCACCAGCTGCAAAAAACTGTTGTGTCCTTAGGCAAGACACTTCACCCACATTGCCCAGTATGAAAGTGGTGGGTGCTTGAGTGGTGGTGGTCGGAGGGGCTGATGGAGCAGATTGGAAGCGTTGCTTCTATCAGCTCTGGCTACAATAGTAGTATTTTCCATCACTGGGTATTGAGTTGAATGTTGTGTTGTATTAGCACATGACATCACAAGATGGATTGCTTTCAGTTTCAGAAAAGATCTCAGCCTAAATATGCAGGATTTATGTGCTAAACATGTGCAAATGAAACAAAACACAACTCTGGGTATGTTTTTGATGAGGATATAGATGTAGATAACATAGGTAAAAAATAGTGTAATATCTTTAATTATACTATATTCCTCCTTGGACTAAAATTAGGTAGTCCAGCTTTAGTGATACAGAATCAGTTGTGTTACAGTTTACCCAATTTGAGTGGCCTATTTTTTGTACACTATATATGAATAATGAGCTACATATGAAAATCATTATCAAACAATGTCACAACTAAAACAAACATTTTTAAAAAGTTCTAGTCTTGTTCTAGTCATTTATTGCATCCCCAATCACTTTCCACTGTAAAATACATAACTTTGTCACAGATGAGTAGTTACTCTGCGGCATATATGGGAACATGTGCATGGTACATTGAGCAATACCTTTAAAAGGAAATGGTGAAAAATAGGAAATTGAGCTCTAAATGTCATTCATTCATTCAGCTTGGATGTCAGGGTGACCTTCTACTCCCATTGTAAGGTGCAAAATATCACACATGATAAAAAGACAGATCGAACAGAAAGCAAATGAGAAATAGTGGACAGCAAATTTTTGTGTATACAGTATATATATATATATATATGTGTGTATATATATACATATATATATATATATATATATATATATATATATATATATATATATATATATATATATATATATATATATATATATATATATATATATATATATATATATATATATATATATATATATATACACACATACATTATATTTACATTATATTTACTCTGACTAGCAACTTTGATTCATTTTTCTCTCTTGACTAATTGCCAGAAACAAATGTGTTGCCATATGCTTTGCTATGCTTATCCAACAATAAGCGGCACTTAAGAAAAAAGCCATTAGGATTAAAAAAAAAAAAAAAAAAGTCTTATTATCTCAGTAATTTCTCCAGACACTTTGATTCTGAGCTGAGCGTTCACCATGACAACAGCTCTAATACCCCTAGCATTACTAAACCATCTGTGGAGGAGTAGCTTAATGCACATCAAATAACAATAATAGTCTGCTAATGGGGTTGTTACCCGCTGTGTCATCATGCCATAGTCCTGTGTGACTCAGGGGAAGACCAAATATGCTTTTTTTTTTGTACAAAAATACTCAAATGATTGATTTATTTTGTTCTATGTATTTTGAATTGGGTTATTACCAGTGATTACTGTGGCTGCATTTGAGAACCCGTCAATATGCTGCACTGTAGATGCCTATAGTTATAGCCACTTAATGTACAAATACTATAAGACACTGGAGTCACTTCAACTGCTATTTGCTCTTGTCCATATGCTATTGTACATAACCACAGACAGTCACCTGCAAAGTTTTGTGTGGCTTTTCTCTGGTGGCACAGTGTTATGTTGTTTTTTGTCTATCGTAAATTTTTATAGTATCTAGTATAATAAAGTATAAATCTATAAATCCATAGTATGTGTCTTGATCTTGATTTTGATTGCATTTACCTGTTGCATTATGACTGCATTAACCTTTTGTGTTG